AAATGTAGCTTTTAATAAAACCTTGACCCAAATGCCAGTAACTTCAGAAAAGAATTGGTGGAGGGGAGAAGAAAGTTATTTCATTTAGGAAAAATAACCACTATCTTTTTCCTAATCTTCAACACACAATTTAAACATAAATAGCTGCTGTAACACTTTACACAATTCCTATGTACTGGAGCAATAATAACAAGATCTAAATACAATTATCTTTTTAAACACTGGGTCATGGCTTTACATAAAAATACCATCCTACATTTCCCCCCTAAGTTTCTAAAATATTACGTACTTTCCTCAACATCTGTAGCCATCCAGGAATTTTTAGGAAACTTTTGTGCATGATCTTAATTCCTAATCCCTGGCTCTTTGGGCTCAGTGACAAAAGATCAAAACCACCAAGAATGATGGTTCACTTGAAGTCAGACAAGAGACCCTGGCTCAGTTAGTCTCATAGGACGAAAGCAGTGCTGCATCAACTGGCTCCATGCAGGAGGGGCACGTGAAGGATCTCATCAACCAGTCATCTATACAGTCCAGGTGATAGATGTGCATACACGGCAGAAATCGAATTGGGTCCCCGTAAACAAAGTCCATCATACAGATCACACACTCCCGGATCTTTTTTCTGATCCATCTCTTCCAGGGTCATAAACTCCTTTAGGCAGATGCTGTATAAGGCCTATTCTTTGAGCTATCCTAATTTGTTCCTCTTCGGTCAGCTGAGTTGCTAGCCGAGTCTGGCTAGGTGTTGGATGATACACTAGAACTGGAACTTGTTCCCGATATGGTGGCGGCGGCTCCTGATCTGGCTCCGTGCCCTCGCCAAAGCTAGCCCGGTCGGACTGAGACTCGTGAAGCAGGGAAATGTCATCTGAGGTGGGCCATTTGAGGCAGTTCCCCATCTTCAGGGCTGGGCTGTGTGATCTTGGCAGTGACGCTCGGTGTCTGACTCTGAAATCTCTCTGCAGTCTCCTCGACTTTCCTACGACCGCTGTTCTGCCCGGTTTAACCGTCACCTCTTACCTATGCACTGTTCTCTGCCAGTATCTTGTTAAGGACCTTTGTATCTATGTTCGTTAAAGACTGTCCTGTAATTTTTCTTTTTTTTTGGTACCGGGGATTGAATTCGGGTCCTTGCGCTTGCGAGGCAGGCAGCAGATCCACTGAGCTAAATCCCCGGCCCAATAAGTGCTTATGAGTAGCTTAGAATCTTTTTTTTTTTTTTTTGGTACCGGGGATCGAACTCGGGTCCTTGTGCTTCCGCAGCAGGCAGTGAAACCACTGAGCTAAATCCCCGGCTCCTGTAATTTTAAGTTGAGGCCTTGCCTTATTTTGGACTCAGGGTAACACTAGCTTCCAAGAATGAATTTGGCAGTACTCCTTCCCTTTAGAATTCATTAAAGATTTTGAGAAGTAATGGTGTTAGTTCTCCCCTAAAGTACTCGTAGACTGGTTTTTAGTACTACTTCAATTTCCTTGCCTACTATAAATGGATTATTTAGAATTTTTATATCTTTTTTGCTTCAGTTTTTCTAATTCATATATATCTAGCAATCTACCCATTTCTTCTAATTTATTTGAGTAATTTTCCAAGTGGTTACTAATAATCTTCTGTTGTGATCTTGCTTTTTTGCTTCTAATTGCATTGATAGGGGCCTTTTCTTTTGTTTTTGGTAATATTTACCAAGAGTTTTCCTATTTATTCTTTTAAAGAACCAGATCTTTGATTCATTGGCTCAATTTTTTTGGTCTCAATTTTATAATTTCTTTAGTTGTATTAGCTTTGGAATTGGATTGCTCATTTTTCTAGGACCTTAAGATGCACCATTAGGTTATTTAGTCACTTTTTTTTTCCCCTAATGTGGACATTCACAGCTATAAACTTCCCTCATAGGAGTGCTTTGTGTCCCATAGGTCTGACATGTTGTACTCTAGGAACTGTCTAAATACTTGATTTCTTCTGTGAGCCACTGATTATTCACAAGTGTAGTTTAATTTCTACATTTGCATAATTTTTGTGGTTTTGCTATCAATTTCTAGTTTTGTTGGACTATGATCTGATAACATGCATGGAATAATTCCAGTTCTTTTGTGTGTTGAGACAGGGCCTCAGTATGCAGTTCAGGCTGGTCTTCAACTCAGTATGTAGTTCATGTTGAGCCTCTGCCTTAGTCTCCTGAGTGCTGGGATTAGGGGTATGTGCCACCACACCTGGCTTCAATTCGTTATATTTATTTAAGTATGTTTTATGGGAAAATATGTGGTCTATTTTGGAGAAAGTTCCATGCGCTGCTGATAAGAATACAAATTCTATTGTTTGGTGCAACACTGCAGATTATGTTAAATCCATTTGTTCAAAAGTGTGGCTCAACTATGGTATTTCTTTGTTGATTTTATTTAGGTGATCAATTTATAATAGTAGGGTATTCAGGTCCTTTGCTATAATTATGTTGATGTTTACCTGATCTTTTATATCCAGTACTGTTTGTTTCATGAAGTTGTGCATGCTGGTGTTCAGTGCAGATATATTTATAATTGTTACTTTTTCCTGTTGAATTGTTCCCTTAACCAATATAGTGATCTTCCTTGCCTCTTCTGATAAGTTCTGGCTTGAAGTCCACTTTGTCTGAAAATAGGACACCTACTTCTGCTCATTTTTGGGTTCCCAGCACATGGAATATTTTTTCTGTCCTTTGATTTTTAGTCTATAAATTTCTTTTTGGATTAAATGTGTTTCTTATATACAGTATACCACTGGATTCTTTTTTTTCCTTGGTACCAGGGATCATGAGGCAGGTGCAGAGCCACTGAGGTAAACCCCTGGCCCTGGATTTTGTTTTTTGATCCAATCTTCCAATCTGTCTTTTGTTGGGGAGTTGGAGCCACTCACATAAAGAGTCATTACTGAGAGGTACTGACTTGGTCCTATCATTGTGTTATTCTTCCATTGCTGATTTGTTTTTCTTTTCTGCTTAACTGCTCATTATACATGATGAATTCATTCCACTTTTTGAAATTGTTGGCTTGTCTCTTTCCAGGATATCCTTGAAAATTTTTTGGAGTGCTGGTTTGGTCATGAACTTAATGTGCTATTTAGCATGGAAAGACCTTATTTCTCCAATTCTGAAAGCTAGTTTTATAGGATAGATCAGTCTAGGTTGGAAGTTTGTCTTTTTTAGGGTTTAAAACAAGTCAACATCTCTAGGCCTTTAAGGTTTGTGTTGAGAAGTTTGCTGTAATTCCAAGGATTTTACCCTTATAAGTGATTTGTTTCTTTTCTCTAACCACTTAAAATTCTATCCTTGTGTTGGACTTCTGGGATTTTGACTATGATGTATCACAGAGAAGTTCTTTTCTGATTGTGCCATTTGCCAAGTCCTATGTCTTATATTTTTAAAAATACTTTATTGGGCTGGGGATTTAGCTCAGTGGTTATGCTGCCTGCCTCACAAGCGCAAGGACCCTAGTTTGATCCCCGGTACAAAAAAACAACAAAAAAACCAACTTTACTGTTATCTTTAAATAAGCAGGTTACACTATTGCTGCCATTACAATAGAGGGGAACTTGTCCAGAATAATAAATACCATTAAATGAGCAAGTTGTTTAAGCGAACTATGTAAGAAATTTGAGTACATAAAAATCTAGTTTTGAGTCTATAAAGTCCTTGTAGAAGATTGAGATTTACTTTACTTTTTACTTTTTCTAGTCCTGGAAGACAAACCCAGGGCCTCATTTGTGCCACACAAGCACTTTAATACTGAGCTATACGTTCTAGTCCTGAGATGTCTTTTGTCTAAAGAAAGTGTTTAACAACAGAATAATTTGCTAGAGCAATTTAGTTTGCATCATTTCTCTGAGTAAAAAGGAATACATCTTAACTAAAAATTTAACTTTTGGCTTTGGAATTCATTTTAGGGTATTAAGATTACTCTAGGGATGGGCATGGTGGTGTCCACCTATAATTCTAGCGCTCTGAGAGGATTGTAAATTCATGCCTGGCCTGGGCAACTTAGGGACTTAGCAAGATCCTGTCTCAAATTTAAAACAAAAACTGGGCTGGGGATGTAGCTCAGGTCCTGAGTTCATTCCCTAGTGCTATATTGCAAAATCAATCAATCAATCAATCAATAATAAATAAAATAGATTAGGGGCTGGGAGTATAGCTCAGTTGTGGAATGCTTGGCCAGCATGTACAAGGTGCTGGGTTTGATCCTCAGCATTATAAAAAAGTAAACAAAATTATTCAAATAATGAAAGATCATTAGCTCAGTGGCACTGCATCTGCCTCAAAAGTGCAAGGCCCTGAGTTCGATCCCCAGTACCAAAAAAACAAAAACAAAAACAAATAATGAAAGATAAGCTTTAAGACCAGTCAGAAAAGTAGAAACAAACTTTAGCTTTCCCATGCCACAGGCTCCTCACTTATAAATGGAATATAAACTATATTTCTATATTATTTCACAATCTGCAGTGCTCTTACACCAATTAAGCCATCTTTCTTGATTGTCATCTGAAAATTTCCTTGGGGTAACAAGAGATATTAAGAAAATCTGAGACATTTAATAAAGGAAGAAATTAAAACTGCCTTGTTCAAAATGAATGGGAAACTGTTTTACTCTACTTCATGAGATGAAGGTTTAAGATACTAGTTTTAACACTATTGGGTCAATATGGTGGCAATCTATCATAATTTTCCTGGGACAGTCCAGGTTTGTACCTACTGCTAGGGTCAATTATTAACATTACTTCTTTCTACCCTCTAAGTCCCCAGGTTTGATGATAAATTAGTCATCACATACAGTATTGCTGACAGGTTTAAGCAGCACGGTACTTAAACAGATTAGTTTGTTTTAATCAGTTATATTCCTCAAATGGTAATATACAAAGTAAACCAGTAAAAATGAAAAGAAGGATGTGAGTAAGGGTTTCTAAAAATTACAGCTTATTTAGGCCATAAAATTAAAGCTTTATACTGATGAACTTAAAAAAAAAATCTCACTTGAGAGTGTGTCTCTTTTAGGCTTGGAGAAACTTCACTAGCAGATGCAGTTTGATCATTTAGTTCAGAATCTGCTCCTGAAAAGCTAAAGACAGACATTTCATTAAAGGAGTTAGCAATTTTCTGAACAGGAATCAAAACAAAATTTAAAGTTAACTGAATTAAGCAATTTTTAAGATCAAATAAATTCTAACTTAGATGACATTATAACTTACTCATGTGATTCTTCTTTCATTAGCTGTAAACAGGAAAAAGGAAAGAAAAAAAATCTTTGTTTAAAGTGTTTTCTGTCTAAATAAAGTAAAACTTTTACTTTTAAAACATACATACATAGGGGATGAAAAATGAATTAAGATGTGTTATATATGTGTACAAACTCCCCACAATGAATATAATTATTATGTACTACAAATATGTACTAATAAAAATAAAAGTTAAATAAAAAAACAAAACATACATACCCTGGAAACAAAAGTAGAGAAGGTAATTAATAATTTTGATTCTACTGACAGCAGGGGCAGCTCTTCCAATGGTATGCCCTTGTGTATTTTTTCTTTTAAATTTGTATATCTGACTTTTAAGTCTCCTGAAATGGACAGTAGTGCTGATCCTAATTCCTTCTGAGCAGAACTACTTAGTAAATTCCTGTTCAAAGTATACAAAACTAAATTATTAAGGCCCAAGTCATCCATTTAACACTAATATATATATACAGTTAGCTCTAATTCTACCAGATCTTTAAATTTTCTTTTAATGTTGAGTAAAATAAAAGGAACTACAGTAGATGTATTTTTATAGGGGCAGTACAAGCAACCATTGATATATAATCTAAAGAGAATACATTACAAGATCATGAAAAACCCTTTGACTTCATCCTTACTTGGACTTTACAAAGAGACATTAAATTTATCTTTTCACTGGATTCATTGTTCCAATCATGCACTATTGCCTATGTATGATGTTACTTTTTTTTTTGGTACCAGGGATCAAACTCAGGCCCTCACGCTTTCGAGGCAGGCATCGGAACCACTGAGCTAAATCCCCGGCCCTACATGATTTTACTTTTTAAAGTACCTTTAAGATAGTTTACAGTCTACTTCTCATTCAGCCCTTTACAATCAAAGTTAAAGCCGGGTGTGGTGGCAGATGCCTGTAATCCCAGCATTTAGAAGGCTGAGTCAGGACCACCATGAGTTTGCAGCCAACCTGAACTACACAGCAAGATCCTGTCTCAAAGGAAAAAAGGAAAGTTTCCCAGAATAAACTAGTAATAAATCTGTATGAAAATACAGATGTAGAGTTTACAAACACCTATTTAACCCTTTATTCTCCACGGTAAGTTTGTAAATGTCCCAGCAGTGACGACGACACATCTCATAGCGAGCATTTAAAAGGTGCATCTCTGCTTCCATAAGTCTCTGCATCACTTTCTTACAGCACTGTGATGGCGAACTCTTCTCCACCTCTTCAGAAAGCTGAAATTCCCTTTCAAAACAATGGACAGGATCAGGTAAGACTGCAAACATTTTTCTACCATAATGATATGTTCCAGAAACAGATTTCAAATTCTGCAAACATTTTTCTACCATAATGATATGATCCAGAAACAGATTTCAAATTTCTTACATTTCCTTCTCCAGGTTAAACACATTCTTAACGACAGAGAAGCTGTGGGGCATATAACAGCTTCAGAAACAAGGGCATCAGGAGTCAGAACTAAGCAGATTCTGTCTATGAGCTACAGAAATACATAACTTATGAACTGATACTTTTTTTTAAATTGAAGGATTCTGACTTAAAATAATGACTTCATCCATCCAGAATGAATTTTTTTTCCAACCTAAGTCAAGGTTTAACTGATTTTTTTCAAGTTATAAACATTCTAGCTTGAAATTGTTCTTAAATGTATTACCTTCAACAGGAAATAGATAATTTGTATTTGCTAGAAATTTAGGGTCATTAATATAAGCAAATATTTTATTGTGATATGACACCAAAAAGCCTCAAATATTACATTTTTTGAGTGTTAACAGTTTTGGAAGTTTGCTCTTGTTACTGGTTGCCACTTCCAGCTGTTCTGGAAACCAACTCTAAGTTTATAGAGTTGGGATACTAGATTAAACATAAGATGGGATGGGGCGGTAGCTCAGTTGTACAGGATTTGCTAGCATGGGGGTGGGCCCTGAGTTGGATCTCCAGCACTGCAAAATAAAAGAACAAGAATAAAAATATGCATCTTTCAAAGTAAATATTTGAAGAATAAAGAATGAGTGAACAAAAACATAAATGACTTCAGAAGATGGTAATTAATTTGGGTCTTTAGATACTTCCCCCCTGCCCCCCTCCTTCTTGGTCCTCCATGTGTTTTTTTGTTTTTTTTGGTACCGGGGATCGAACTCGGATCCTTGTGCTTGTGCAGCAGGCGGCAAAACCACTGAGCTAAATCCCTAGCCCAAAAAGCAGGTACTCTACCACTAAACTATATCCCTAGCCTTTTAATTTTTTTTTGGTACCAGGGATCAAACTCGGGTCCTTGCACTTGAGCAGCAGGCAGCGAAACCACTGAGCTAAATCCCCAGGATCCGCCATGTGTTTAAAGAAATGCAAAGTAAACAATACATTGAATTAAAGTTAAAATGAAAATACTTCAGTGAATGTAGTTATACTTCAACCATATGACATTTTCTAAAGGTGCTATTTTGTTTTGGTCTACAGGGGAATCAAAAGAAAAAATAGAAAATTAAATCAGCATGAATTTTATTTGAATAAATAAAGATAAACTGCCATAAGTAACTGAAGGAATCATTGAGATTATAATCTCATAAGCAAAGAGCTTTAACATTTTATATTGGTTTGATACTCATTGTAGAGAAAATCAGTGAAGCAAATTATTTCTTAATGTTCCTTTTAGCTATAATCTAATCATATATGTCATAACCACATAATCTATATGGTTAAATATATTACACACAAAGCAAATACTATCGAAGTTTTTGGATGTACATCTACATTATACATCTGACCTACCTGTCAGGATGTTTCTTTAAGTCTGTGTTATCATATGTTTTTAATTCCAGGGAATCCTAAAAACATAGTTTAAAATTAATTCATAAATATATGACAAACAATACATGTTAAGTGATTTTTTTTTTTTTTACATTCCTAGGGCTCAAACCTAGGGTATTAAACATGTTAGGCAAGCACTCCATCACCGAGCTAAATCCCTAGCCTACAATTCAAAGAACACATGGAGTTTCAAATGGATAAAATATAAAACTACATTTTAAAAGAACTTTGTGGCAATAGCTCCTACCACAGGATAGAGCTGGTGGTGATCTATCCTCCCTTTCCTTATCCAGCGTTTTCTCACAAAGGCTTCAATACAATCAACCAAATTACATTAACATATACTTTATAAAGTAAGATAATTTTGGGGAGGCAGTGTTGCTATACAGTTCAGGATGGCCTTGAACTCCCTCTATAAACTAGGGTGAGGGTGGCTATAGTGAATGCAAAGTGATCCTCCTTCCTCCTCCCAAGAGCTGGGATTACAGGCACGCACCATCACACCCAGCCCAAAGTAAAATAATTTTGTAAGGTAAGATTTCATTATTGCTCATATTGATTTTACCTTATTTTGGAAATTTCCATTGGGCTGTGAACTGTCAACTGAGAGAGATTTTCCTGACCCTTTTGTTATAGCCACTGGTGTATCCACACCATCTTGACCATATGACCAATCTGTGTTACAAGCCACACTTTTTTGTTTTCCACTTTGCCATTTGCTGGGCCGCTTTTTACTCATCATTGTTACCTCCGTGTTGCTTGATGTAGATACTACCGAAGGTCTTGCATTTGTTGCTCTGCTGGTTGTGAAACAAGCCCTAAAATCTGTGCTAACATCCACTGTTTGATGTACTGTGACTGTACAACCTGCTGCATCTATCACTGATTTAGGGTATGTTCCTTTTCCATCCTCCTCAGAGCATGCTTTATTCATGTTATTGCCATTTATAGCTTTTAGGGAGCTATCTTCTTTGATTGTCTGGTCATCTCTTATGGCAATCCTTGGTGGGACAGCAAAACCCAAGGCTGGGTCAGGCGTGCTTTGTAGGCTTTCATAATGTGAACATCCATAGGCAGAGATGACTGAGTCATCAAAAATAGAGGACCAGGAAGTTTGGCAAACCTTAGAGGATTCCTGTAGTGTCTCTAAAGCTCTGTCCTGGGAGATTGTGCTAGGATTTTCAAGGTGCTGTGAGATTCTGTTCTTGACAACTGCATTTCCACAAAAATCTTTATTTTCAGAAATCTGAGATTTCATTGTTTCAGTACACGTTTTAGTTTTCAGTGCTGTTTGGGGGTTCAAGAAATCATTCTTAGCCTGAGATTCTTCATTTCCGAGAGAATTACCTCTTTGTACAAATACTATGGGATACATTAAACTAGTCTCTTGTTCCTTACACTTTTCATACTTTGGTTCATAATACTCTTTTAACAGATCACAATTCTGAAATTTAGAGACACAAGGTGTATATTCTTGTGCAACAACATTAAGTGAATCTGAAGAGATAACAGAACTACTTTCCAATTTAATGGGATTATCTTCTAGATTGCTAGCACTTTGAACTTCATGACCTGAATTTCTTAATTCAACTTCCAGATTAGATATACTTGATGTTTTTGCTTGGACAAAAGATAAATGGTTACTTATATATTCTTGTTCTTCTGCACTGTGATATTCCTGCTGTGAGTCTTCCTCTATAACATCCTTCTGCATTTCTCCAGCAGTTTCTTCATAGTCAGCATTTGAAATCTCACAGATTCTTTCCAAGGCAACAGTTCTAGTACCTTGAAGTTTCAAAATATCAAAAAACGCTTCCTCTCTTTTTTCTATTTCAGAATCTAATTCTGAATTTAAATTAGTAGTGTTTTCATTCTTTAGTTCTGACTCCGAATATATACAGTATATTTCATTCATAAAAACATAGTCGATACTGTCTTCAAACTTGCTTGATTGAGAGTGAGCACTCTGTATATTAGTGTCTTGATTTTCTGAAAAAGATGACTCCAATAAACGTGTTGTGTCAGTATTACTGATTTCTCTGACACTGGCTCTTGGCTCTAGTGCCAAGGAATCCCATTCATGATCAGGAAAAGTCAGTTTGACTTCATTACAAGCATTGGAAGATTTCTTAGAATCAGAAGATAGATCTGATAAGAAAAAATAAGTTTTAATGGAAACATTTCAGAATCTGAACACCAGAAAGATCTCAGACATGTCCTGGTCCAAGACTTTCCCAGTGCAGGACTACTGTTTATATCATGCATGACAAATACCTGTGATGGTAGCTGCTACAAACTAAACTGTGCCCCCTCCCCAGTGGATGGTATTTGGGGACAGAGGCTTTGGAGGTCATTAGGTTTAGATGAAATCATGAGAGCAGGACTCTCAGGATGGGGTTAGTGCCCTTATAAGGGACGCAGAGAGCGGCTTCTCCTTTCTCTTATGTAAAGACACAGCAGAATGCCGCCATCTACAAGCCAGCAAGAGATGCCTCAGCAGAACCTGACCGTACTTGTACTTTGAGCTCCGGAAGTATGACTGAATAAATGTGTGCAGTGTCTCAGCCAGTGGCACTTTGTACAGCAACCTGGGCTAGCTAACACCGTAGCCAAGATTCTCTCTGAATTTCTTAGTAGCCAAGTTTTCTATTTGAAGGGCAGCCACTCTGTTAGTAGAGAGGTCTAATAAAATTTTTTTCTTAATAAAATTATCTAATAAACTTTGAATGGATTCTAGCGCCAACCTTAGGCATTATACAAAGGGAAAGTAGACACAGGTGCTATCTCAAATCCTCATGGCTTTCACAGGGGTCACCGATAAGCACATAAAAATATAATGCAGGGGGGCTGGGGATTTAGCTCAGTGGTTCTGGCACCTGCCTCGCAAGCACAAGGTCCCAAGTTTGATGTCCAGTACCAAAAAAAATATATATATATATATATGTAGGTAAACAAAAGTACTGACATAAATATATTGCTAGAGCAGATAAATCTGACAAGGAAAGAGAAATAGATTGCAGAGAAAACTTTACATTTAAAGTGTTTGAAACAAAACAGTCAAAATTATCTTAGTCAAATCCAACAGCAAGTACAGGTGTGTGAAAGAGCAGGGCATTTTAGGAAATTGTAGGCCAGCTTGCCAGGAGTAAAAAAGCTCTAGAAGTGTGACAGGGATCTTTGACTGAAAAAGGCCTTTTACGATGTGGTAAGGAGTCTGGCTCTTATCCTAAGGCAAGCCTGGAGTTGAGCTGCAGCCAGCTCAGGCAACAGAAAGAATGAAGCTTGGAGAAGGAAAGGCAGGCTGCTATGCCAGAGTGCAAAAGTGGGACTGGAGCAGAGGCTAGTGTAAAAGCCAGGTGTGGTGGCGCACGCCTGGCATCCCAGCACTCAGGAGGTTGAGGCAGGAGGATCACTACAAGTTCGAGGCCAGCCAGGGCTACATAGTGAGCTCAAGGATAGCCAGAACTACAGAGCGAGACCCTCTCAGAAAAAAAAAAGTTCCGCAAGTGACAAGTCTTGGCAGCAGATTAGAACTGGTAGCAAGGGGAAGACAAAGAGCAGTGGTTTTCATTTTTAACTAAGACCATAATTAGAAATACGTTTTATATCATGACTCAGTAGGCATGCGCACACACAAGTGAAACAAAAATTTTATGAAACAGTAATTGCAGGGCCAGGAATGTAGCTCAGCAGTGCAGTGTCTGTCTGGCAAGCTCAAGTCCCTGAGTTCCATTCCCGGTACCAAGAACAAACCAACCAACCATCCCAGTAATTGTGCTATGTGCAATAGTCTAGGTTCACTTAAAAAGCTTATCATGGGCCAGGGATTTAGCTCAGTGGTTCCGGCGCCTACCTCACAGCACAAGGTCCTGAGTTCGATCCCCAGTACCAAAAAGCTTATCATGATCAGCTAAACTGATTTCATGACTTATGAAATGGCCACTACATGCTTAAATATCACTCTAAGATAATGCTAAGATTTATAACTTGGAAGTGACTAGAGTTGAATGAGAATATTCAGGGCTAAATAGGGACTTTATGAGGACTAGGTTTAGAGGATGAAGATGAAAAGCAAGATGGAGGAGGAGCAAGATAGAGTTCGGTTTGGGAAAAGGGAGTTGGAAGTTAGTAATAAAAGACCCAAATGTCAATGTTTAGTAAGATGTTATAAATACAGGGCTGAAGATAAAAGAGATCTGTATAGGAGTTCTTTATATATTCTGAATACTAATTCTTCGGCTTTGATATTTATAACATGTGGATTAGTTTACTGCTTATTTTTAAACTTTTTTTCTCCAGTTTGATCCTCTGGGGATCAAACCCAGAGGCTTCCATATGCAAGAAAAGCACTCTATCCCTCAATTATATTCCAGCTCTTTCATTTTATTTTTTTTATTTTGAGACAGCATCCCCTAAGTTGCCCAGGCTGGCCTGAAACTTGTAATCTCCCTACCTCAGCTTCCCTAGTAGGTGGATTACAGGCGTGCATCTGTTTCTCTTAACTTTTTATAGTATGTTGTCATATCAACGTTTTTAAGATTATTTCGTTAAATGGATCAGTCTCCTAAAACTTTTGAGTTTTGTGTCTTTGGTCTTCCCCATTACATAATCATAAAAAATATTTACCTACAATTTATTCTCAGTGTGTATATAATAGCCTTTTTACACTGTATAGAATTAACTTTTCTTTCTAGCATAAGTTAGGAATCTAACTTAATTTTCTTCCAAAATATATGGTCAAGTGTCCTGACATCATTTGCTGAATCTCCCATTGTCTTCTGAGTTTGTTATACTGTAGTGTGGGTTTGGAATAGCCTTCAAGGCTCATGTGTTGAAGGCCTGGTCCCCAGCAGGTGACACTATTGGGAGATGGTGGACACTTAGAAGATAGGTCTCGTGGGAGGAAATAGTTGTGGGGCATGTGCCTTTGAAGGGTGTACGTTGTCTCTGGCCCCTTGCTCTTTCTTCTGTTTCCTGGCCACCTTGAGATGAGCAGCTTTGCTGTGCCACACCTTTCCACCATGATGCTCTGCCTTACCACAGGTCCAAAATGATGAGGCTATGGACTCAGTTCAGTATGGACTGAACCTCTAAAACCATTAGTGAAAAGAAATCTTTATTTCTTTGAAGTTGTTCATCTCAGGGGTTTTGCCACAATGATGGAAAGTTTACTAACACAGTTAAATAGCATCTTTATTGTATTCTGAAATTCTTTTGGTTCTGTTTCATAATTTTCTAAGGCCCTATTTCTATTTATTCTGTTTCATTAACCTACTGTCTTTTTATACAACAGTATTAATTATTATAGCTTTAATTATTATAGCACCATAAGATATTTTTATATTTGGTAGGTTTTCTTACTTTATTTTGAATATTTCTTTTATATTCTCTCCTCTAGATTAAAATGTTTTAGGTTCATATTTTTATTTTTTGTTTTTTTGTACCAGGGATCGAACTCAGGACCCTGTGCTTGCAAGGCAGGTGGCAGAGCCACTGAGCCAAACCCCCGGCCCAGGTTCATATTTTTGAAGTCTATTTTGAACTGTCTAGCACAATTACATTTAGCATCTAGCATCACTCCCCTCCCAAAAAAGACATCTGACTTGGACTCTTACCTTTTTGGAGGTTTTCTCCACTACTATGGTAGCCTTTACCAGAAGCCATCTCCACCAGTGCAGTGGCCTGCATCATTCAAGGATGAATATTCTAGAAAAAGTATAAATATTGAACTATTATATTTGGCACTGTATTTAAAAAACTATTAGAAATTGGAGAGGAATTTAACATAGTAGTAGTTATAGTCAAGAATTCTAATATCATAGGGCCAATGATAAAGCTAGTAGAACATCTGAATAGAATTTAAAATCATGAATTGGTAGCTACAGAAAAACAAGCAAGACATTCTTTTAAGACTTTCAAGAAACAAAAAATAATAAATTTGGGGGCCAGAGATTTAGCTCAGTGGTTTCGCTGCCTGCCACGCAAGCGCAAGGACCTGAGTTCGATCCCTGGTACCAAAACAAAACAAAAGAATAATAAATTTGGTTCATCAAAAAAGTCAGTAAAGAAACAGTCTTAAAGACAATAATGTGACCCCTATATTTCCAGAATGTACACTTACTAAAAATCAAAGATAAGGTGGATCCATACAATAGAGTATCATCTAGTAATAAAAGGAACAAACTACCAGTACATGTTATTTTCATAGGTTTTCAGATTTTGGAACATTTGCATAGGGTTCATCAGTTGACCACCCCTAATCCAAATTTTCACAATGTTCTAAAGTCTAAAGGTTTTGTTAGCAGTGATGTCCTGTTCAAAAAGTTTCAAATTTTTGAGCATTTGCGATTTGGACTAGGGATGCTGTTTATTGTCTACTGTTTTCTTGCTCATGGTGTCATTTTAAGTTCTTGGTTTTCCTTTGACTATATGCTACATACTGTATTTGATAAATTGTACACAAAAATAACCTGAATGCAAGGATGATGTTATCTTCCCTCAAAGAGAATTTTTGTTTGCTACTGTTAGGTGCCATAAGGAACTAGTAATCTAGAATCCCTTTACTCAAACCAGAATCTGAGACTTTTCTAGGCTGCCCAGATACCTAGTTTATGAAAGGGCTGGTTTACTTAAATTGTAGGGCATAGTCTTTGGAATCCTAAGCATATGGGAAGAGATAGTTTACCTGGTTCCCATCTTTTACTGTCATTAAGTTTTCCAAAGCATAGTCTATCCTCTCTGTTACTTCTTCTAAATTAGAAGATCTATTTGGGCTTAGTTTTCCCTACTTCTAGGCTCACTTCTAGGGGTTTCCATTCTTTCCCAAACTGGCCTAGTAATTCTTCCTTATCTCATTAATTTTTACCTACTTTCAAGGAGGTTTAAAAATTATTCATCTACCTTGTTAAATTGTCTTCAATGGATAGGAGATCTAAATTACTTACTCCAGCATTATCCTTAATTTTAAAATTTAAATGTAGTTATTATGTGACATAGTGAAATTAAGGACAACTATTAAAATGTTATAGAGTTTATTAGTTTATCACTTATAATGAAAATAGGCAGTTTTAGAGGATTTAAGAAAAGGATATTTCTACAGTTTTACAACACTGAGAAATACTTAAAAAGCCAACTTTTTTCCTGCTCCCCAAGTCTTTCACATTTTCACAAGTCTTTGCCAGGTGACTATTTCTAAGCAGAGCACTCTGAGCAGAGGAAATGTGCATTATTTTAAGGTGACAGTCTGGACTAGCCTCATAAGCTCTAACTACACACACACATTAGTATTTGACAAATCTCAAGGGGATCCTGGACAGCTTTCTGAACTTCAAACTATCTCTGCTTTGCTTGGCATCCTTACTCCGTGGCCTGCAATGTGCTTCCAAAGAGGAAGCCTGGCTATCACAGTGCTCAGGCTAGATGTTGCCTCTTCCTCACAAATCAGTTCTACACTACTCCACTGTCCAGTGTCATAAAACAGTTATCTCACACACAGGAGCTAGTTTTTAAGTTGTTTAACAGCACTGTGGTAAATCCAGTGTCGTCTGTTACTCCATCATGGCCAGAAGCCTAAATATCCTGAGAGTATGTTCTAGAATTACCACAGAATTAAAAATAGTTTACAAAAGATAGCAACTCTCTTAATATTTGGAAATTAAATAATACACTTGTAAATAATCCATGGGTAAAAATATATCATGACGGAAATTAAGAAAAATTTTGAACTCAACAGTTATGAAAATACCACATATTGCCAGGCACGGTGGTGTATACATGTAATCTGAGTTCTCTGGGAAGCTGAGGCAGGAGGATTGCAACTTTGAGCCCAACCTGGCCAACTCTGTAAGCTGCCTGTCTCAAAATGATAAAAATTGGGATGCAGTTCAATATGAAGGCCCTGGATTCAATCCCCAGTACCACCCCCTAAAGAAAAGAAAAAACCACATATCTAAATTTGTGGTATGCGGCTATGAGAGAAATACATAGCTTTACATGCTTATATTACAAAGAAAGGAAGGTTTTAAATCAATGATTGAAGGTTCTATCTTTAAAAACTAAAAAAGTAGAATAGATTAAACCTGAAGAAAGTAGGATAGAAATATTAAGAGAAGTAAATGAGATAAAAATAGACAAATAGTTAAAGACTAAAATTGATTACTGAAAATATGTATACAATTTATAAGCCAGGTACAGTGGTGCACATCTGTAATCCCAGTTACTTCAGAGACTAGGCTAGAGAATCAAGAGTTTGAGTCCAGCTCTATCTCAACCCCCCCCCCAAAACAACAACAAAAGACCCCTCACAAAACAAAAAATGACATATGTATAGATTCATGAATACTTCTCAAGACTTATCTAAGAAGAGAAAACAAATTATCAACATCCTAAATAATAAAGGGAGTATTACTACAGAACCTACCAACAGACATTAAAAAGATAATAGAGATATAATAAACAATTTAGCTCATAAATATTAGTCTAGATGGGCATACTTGAAAACCACAACCTCTTAAAATACAAGAGATAAACAATCTGACACTCCTATATCTCTTAAGGAAATGAAATCTATAAAGAAATTAATTATATTGTAATTATATTGTAAAATTACATTGTAAAATTAATTATTATAATATAATTAAAAACTTCCCCTCAAGAGCCATGGTGGTGCATGCCTGAAATCCCAGCACTCAGGAGGCTGAGGCAGGAGGATCACTGGGAGGTCAAGGCCAGCCTGGGCTACGTAGTGAGTTCAAGACTGGTCTGAACTACATGGTGAGACCCAGTCTCAAAAAACAAACAACCAAACAACAACAAGGAAAACCTTCTGCCAGGGATTTAGCTCCGTGGCACCGTGCCTGCCTCATAAGCACAAGGTCCTGGGTTCGATTCCCAGTACCCCCTCCCCCAATCTCAATATCACAAATGCAACTGCAAATACTATATCCGGATAAAGGTCTATTATCCAAAATATAGAACTCTTATTACTCAACTCAAGTAAAACCCTTTATTTTAAAAATGAGCAAAAGATTTCAGTCAACATTTCAAAGAAGATACACAAATGGCCAACAAATGTATGCCAAGATGCTCAAGGTCACTGTGCATTACAGAAATGCAAATCCAAATCAGAAGGAGCTACCACCTCACACCCAGTCGGGTGCAACCACAGGAGCAGATTCGTGTTAGCAACGATCCCATAGGGAGAACGGGAGCCCTCTGACTGCAAGCGGGAAGGCCGGGCGGGCCGACCCTGGAGAGCAGCGATCCCTCGCACGCTAGCCCGGACGGCCGTTTACCCAGCAGTTCCGCTCCGGTTTAGGCTCCTTTCCTCTCCAGCCTCTTTCCGAGCTCCCGTTTGCCCAGCTCTTTCCTCCGGCGTTTTCGACGGCGCCCCAGGACCCAGCCAGGGCCCAGGACTCCCCTGTCCCGCCCACCTGCTTAGTCCGACCTCAGTCTGACCGGAGCTGGCAACAGCGCCAGCCAGGGAGCGGCCTCGCGCCCGGGTCCACCCCGCGGGCCGGGCGCTCTGCACGCGGGGCTCCTGCGCTCTCCCGTGGGCAGTACTGAGGTCTGAGGTCTGAGTACTGAGATGCACTGACCCGTAGCCCTGGTCCTTTCTCAGTTTTTACGATTTCACCCTGAGCCCGGTCTGGTTCCTGTCTTTGAGCCCCCGGGGCGTGCGCGCCTCCCCGTCAGTGCGAGCTGTAGGGCCGGCGGCGGGCGGACCTCGCCGGAGACCCTCTTGCCTCTCCCACCGCCCGGACCCTCGGGTTTCCGGGACCCGCGGCACGGCGCGCACACGGGACCGACAGCATCCGCTCCCGCCGCCCGGCCCAGGTCGGAGCGTGTCCCCGCGACGGGTCCCGCCGGCCGGGGGTCTCGGCGCCGAGCCCGAGGAGGACCTGAGCCCGGCGACGCCTCACCTCGCAGCAAAGCCGTCATCCCCGCCGCCTCAGCCTCGGAGCGAGCGCAGGCCCGGGCAGTCGCGGGGCCCAGCGGGTAACGGTCGTCGGCTCCCCGCCCACCGCTGGGCGGGGAGCACTCCTATTGGTCGGCGCGGACCGGGCGGCAAGGTGATTGGCCTGGTGTGCGGAGCGAAAGCGCGGGAAGGAGGCCGAGGCTCGGATTGGGCGCTCCTGGCGGGAGGAGCGTGGAGAGCGCGCCTGGCTGCTTTGCTGCCGGCGTGGCGGGAAGACGCTCCAGCGCCGTAGCGCGTGTCCGTCCAGCAGGCGGGCGGCCGGCCAGGAGGCCCACGAGTTCGAGCCCAGCCCGGGAGACTTAGCGACTGAGCTAGAGCTTGTCTGAAACAGAAAAGACGTGAAAGGGGCCGGGATGCCGCTCGGTGTGCAGGCTCTCTGGTCGCCCCCAGTTCTACGAAGGAAGCAAGGGAAGAAGAGAAAGGCAAAGCCCCGGCCTCTAGGCGTCCGCTCCCGGCTGTGCCGTGGGGCAGGCGGAGGCGTTTCTGCCTCGACTGCGGAGTAGGGGCCACTCCCAAACTCCCAAGCAGCCACATGGGCAATATTTTAACCCAACCGTTGGAAAAGTCAGAAGGCATGAAAGAAATCCAAGACGGGCAAGGGATCCAAAATAGTACTCCTGTTTGCTTTTCTCCTTTTGCCTCTGGCCTTAAAGTGGCTCCATGGAACACACTGCTACTGACCCTGTATTGAAATCGGGGTTTTCTTCACTGTGGATTCGTTTTTGCACTAACTTTGATTTTTTTTTTTTATTTAGAAAAACTGTTTAAAATCAAAAGAAATATGGGTCTGGAAAGGATTTAGCATAGCTATGTAGTTCTAAGCTCTGTTTATTGAACTGTACTCTTAGATGCTTAGTACGCAGTAGAAAGACACCCCCAAAAAACCCTTATTCGTGTTCATGATATTTTATTTCAGAAATATTTCATTGCCTTAGAAATGATCCCCTCTTCCTGAAATACCAGGTAGTTTTTGTTTCAATTGCTGTTTATGGCGTTGGAAGTCTGCTGCGTGGGCAGGCGCCAGGGTTGCATGTTGGGCTGAGTCTGACCCTGTGTCTGGGTAGAGGTGTGGCTGCCTGCAGTCATGTGGGAGAATCCAGGGAGGGGAGGTGGGTTCCCCTCCGCACCTCAGTCCACACTTTTCCCACCTCAGCTTTGACGGCAGTGGGAGGCGGGTGTCCCGGGACCCCCTCGTCCATGTCACTGGAACACCGCTTCGCTGCCTAGGGCCCATCTGGCTGGGAAGTTGTGGCAGCAGAGGGCGCTTTCCTGGTGGGGTTTGTAAGGCGTCTGGGCCTGCTTTCTGGGGTTAGGGCCTCACTGATTACTCAGGGCTACAGGTGATGTCTTGGTAGTGACTTGGTCTCCACAACCCGGGCACCCAGCCCCGCCCAGACCACACTTGAGCTGGGGGCCTGGATCCTCAAGATAGTGGTGTTTACAGCAGGGCCTGGGGAGGGAAGGGGGCAGGGGCCAGCTCACCGGCCCTCTAAGAGGCTTCCTTGCGGGAGACTGCAATTATGCCCAAAGCAGGCTGGGAAGAGTCAAACCCACAATTCTCTTGTTTATAAAAGTGAGTCTGTCCAAAGCCTATGTGTCGAGGTCAGAGGAACTCGAACCCAAATTCCATTCCCTCAACTAAAACCTTCTGACTAGAAGGACAGTGTTCTACTTACAACCACATATTTTGTGTATTCTGTTCCTAATTCGAGACGGTATTATCTTGTCCTTTATGAGCCTTGCTTCCATTAGTTTCCATACAAACCACAGGGACTGCACATCTTTACACACAATCCTGCCCTTGCATGAAGCTCACCTTTACCCCCATTGATTACCAGGAAAAATCAGCGGCTTGGACTGGCCAGTGCCTTTGTTGACTGAACTGACATTGGTTGTCCTGGCACCCCACTTTCTGTCTCTTAATTTTGTCTTTTAGTTTTTTTTCTCAGGCTTGTGTTGTACACTGAGCAGGAGACTGGAGCCTATTGCAGAGGTTTCTGGTAACATTTTAGGGGTTTTCAGGATTCCTTCATGGGACCCTTGGCAGTGTCAGCAGATGGACTCACCCGGGGTGGCTTTCCTTCATGCCATTCTAATGTCATGATGTGTTCATCTGAATGTTTCCTGTGGGCTGTGTAAGTGACACTGATACCTGCTAAATTGTCTTCAGGGATGACACTGAAACACTTCAGTTCATTTTAATAGGTTCCAAATAAGTATATGAATAAAGTTTCAGATTCTGAAGAGACAGGGAGCTGAGGTAGAAACCACGCAGACACACAAAGGTGGCCAGGATGGGGCAGAGGAGGAGGGGCAGTGGGGAGGGATGCAGCAGCCTCTGGTGAAGAGCAGCTACAGAGATCTGGGAAGAGCAGAGGTGATGGCCTTGGTTTAAAACTGGTGGTGCACACCTGTAATCCCAGCACTCAGGAGGCAGAGGCAGGAGGGTCACCACAGATTCAAGGCCAGTTTGAACTACATATCAAGACTCTGTCTGAAAAAAAAAAAAGGATTTAAAGATGCTGGGTTCCATCCCCAGAACTGCAAAAATACTTTCTTTTTTTTTTTTTTTCTGGTACTAGGAATTGAACTCAGGACCTTGCGCTTGCCAGGCAGGTGCAGTGCCACTGAGCTAAATCCTCAGCTCCAAAAATATTTTTTAAGATAATAAAATGAACACATTAGGAGAGATGTTCAGTAAATACATAGTATGGTAGCTTAAAAGACATGTCTGAATTCGTTGATGCTCTTAACTTCAAAAAATGGAGCTATGGCCGGGCATGATGGTGCACACCTGTAATCCAGCATTCAGGAGGCTGAAGCAGGAGGACTGCTGAGTTTGAGGCCAGCTTGGGCTACATAGTAAGACCCTGCCTCAAAAATCCAAGACAGGGACGGGGATTTAGTTCAATGGTTCTGTCGCCTGCCTTGCAAGCACAAGTACCTGAGTTCGATCCCTGGTACCAAAAAACCCCCCCAAAAAACAAAAAAAACAAGACAAATGAACAAACAAAGAGAAAGAAAGGAAATGGAGCTATGGCACCCACCTGTAGTCTCAGCACTCAGGAAGTTGAGGCAGGGGGACTGCAAACATGAGGTCAGTCTGGCTTATGTAGAGACCTTCTCTCCAAAATAAAATTCAAAAAAAGGAAAAAGAAGTGGAGCTAATCCCCACCACCACAGAGCCCTGGAATCTGAGGAGTGATGCCACTTCCAAGATGAAATTTTAAAAGACTATGGCTTCCAGCTGGGCCTGGTCTATAATTCTAGCACTCTGGGAGGCCGAGGCAGGAGGATAGAAAGTTTGAGCCCAGCCTGGGCACCTTAGTGAGATCTTGTCTCAAAATTTTAAAAATACAAAAGAGCTAGGGATGTAGCTCAGTGGGAAGGCCTGGGTTCTATGCCGAATACTGCAGAAAAACAAATCTGCTAGCTCAGGAAAGCCCGAGTTTCTATGAGGATGGCTGGTGCCCCAAATATACTGGATCAAATGCCAGGTCTTCGCACTCTGAAAAAAAGACTGATGTCTCCTGTGTTGCTTCCTCTCACCGTGTGACACATATTGAAAATAGCTCTGCTGTTTTCTGAAGTCATGTATAAAGAGAGTCACAGATGCAGCTGTTCAAATCCCTAGGATACACACGCAAATGCTACGAATCACCAGTTCATGAAGCTGCTGAAGCACAAGATGAATTTAATGATCTTGTGTTCTTTGCCAATGTTCATCAATTGTGTCAAAACAGTTTTACAAATAATTTGTTTTTGTTAACTTCAAGATCTTAAAGGTGCTTGCAAAAGTTCAGTAATTCCAGTAAAATACTGGCTGTGTGGCTGATGTTTCCTCATGCAGTTACACACGAATGAGCTGAACTCGAAGATCCAAGAAGCTGGCTGTTAGTGATCAGTCTACATAGGTAGAGGACTGATGTGGACATGGAGACTTTCCAAGTTACAAATAATGATGGTGGCTTAAACACAGAAATCAGTACGTGCAGGATTTTCATTATAATCAACATTATGGAAATTAGTTGCAAAAATTTACAGGGAAAGTTTGAAGAATATTTCAGTGACTGAGTGAGAGAGCTGCTTTCCGTTTATGCCAACTTTTTTTTTTTTTTTTTTT